AATATTGTACATAACCCTCGCATTAAGTGAGACCTACAACAAATAATAAATCAAGTTGATCCCTCCATGTAAGTGTTATGTACATTTATTATATACTTGTAGCATTTTCTTAAATTAAAATAATAAATCTGGATACCAAATTATGTTAATCTATTAACACTATTTATGGATAGATGTATGGGTTATGTCCTTTGCAAATGGAGCTTGAGAGTCATTGTTGACAATTCTCTTGACATCGTGCTAATAATGGATCAGATCAAAATGGCTCACTTAAATTCTAGCGCTTCTTCTATTATGGCTCACTTAAATTCTAGCGCTTCTTCTATTAGTGAAGTTTCTAGAAAAAAAAAAAATATATCAAACGACGCAACCCACCTTGGGTCACTACAGAAACAGCCTCCTTGTATAATTACAAGGGTAAGGTCTGCGTACAACTGACCCCCCAGACCCCAACCAGTTGGGAATATACTGGGTATGTTGTTGTTGTTGTTGTTGTTGTTGTATGGATAGATGTATGGGTGTGAATGGTGATTTAAATTTACTTTCCGTCATTTCATCTATTTATTGCATATGATATCATTTATTTTAATTTTTTTTATAAAGTATAAATACTTAAATTTTCAGTCAATTGATATATCAAATATAATATATAAACCGAGATTTCAGAAATTCTGTTACCATATATATAATACACAGTTAAAAATCTCATGAAACAATACCCCATAATTTATGGCTATTGTTTTTCTTAAACCAAAAAAAAAAATTTGCCATAAATGGAATATAATTAATGATAGGAGAGTTTGACCAAAATTTGACTTACTATTTTTGAAAAATGGTAATTCTTATTATATATATAGATTGAGATTTTATAATAATACCCAAACATACTTTATCCACTGATAGATCTAAACAAAAATAGAGAAATCGTTATGCGTACCAAAAAAAAAAAAAACACCGTATTGATACTTCCTAATTTATAAAACATTTAGGAAAAAAAAAATTAAACCTCAGTTCAACTCTCCAGTAACTTTCTGCACGAAATATTCTGAGAAGAATGAAAGTTTGCATTTTTTTTATTCATCTTAAGAGCTAGTCACTAGAATTGTTAGATTAAACAAGATGCTCGTGAACTTGGCTCATTACGTCTCGAGTTTGGCTCAGTTCATTTGATAAATGAGCTTAGCTCGAGCTCATAACGAGTCAAGCTCTTACTAACTTAACGAACTAATAATCGAGCTCGAACTCAACTCGTTTACACCCTACTGATGACACACACAATATCTGAGAAAACAAACACAGGAGAAGATGAAAATTGATAAAGGATATATTTTATATTAGAAAGAAAACATTTAGGATAAGTTTTTGCGCATGGGATGTGATTAATGAAATTGCAATTATAACCCTTACCAACTTATACTCGCAATATTATGCTATAGTACATTACGTGCGTAGGTGGTTTGAATTCGATTATAGACATTCTATGGAATAAGGTAAAGAAAATCCTAACGGAAGATTCTAGTATAGGTTTACACAGTGATAACCTATGTGATACCCAAATAAATATAGAATTGTCATTTGAATACCACCTGTTGCTTCATGATTTCATCACTGTTTTATAAGCCACTGCTAAATTCCACCAAAAAAAAAAAAACACACACACACACACACACATGCATTTTCTTCACCATTAATAATAAAGAGAATTGTGGTGTCCTCTAATATAATCAAGACACCATTATGTTAAGGAAAATGCTACATGTACATAATAAATGTACATAAAAGGTGTACATAACACTCACATGGAGTAGGGTCCACTTGATTTTGTATTTTTAGTGGGTCCCACTCAATGTGAGTGTTATGTACACCTTTATGTACACTTTTATGTACTTGTAGCATTACTCGTAAGTTAAAAGGAAGTATTGGCAAATACCAAAGGCAAAAGGAGAAAAAAAAAAAAAAAAAGGTATCAATGAGTTTGGGATATTTGCAATAGCATATTCATACTTGAGATGTGAGTTGTGGCATGCATGGTGTATGCAGTTTTATATCCTTCTTTAAAATCAAGTAACGAAATTAGCTGCCACTTAAAACGATTTTCTTTGGACCTTAACAGTTAGGAACATGCTTGTTATGTACTCATATTTGGTGGAGTATAATCAAAGTGTATTCATTTGGCACAAAAGTTAAAGGTGGGAGATCTAAAAGACAAAGCAAATATATATATATAAAAAAAACTATAAGGCCATTCGGGAGGTTGGTGAAAGATGAGACCCACCACTTAGAAGAACTAACAGACAGAGAGAGAAAGACCGGGAAAAAAATATGTGTACTTTTAACCAAGATACACACACATCTGCATCAAATCGAGATAACTAAACAGTATGTAATGCAATAAATCCAAGAGCATTATATCTCTCCCTGTTTCTGTAATAAAACTTTAATGGACATTGACTACAAAATACTGGCCATAATTCTATCTTGGAATGAAAGCAAGCACATAGGATATATTGAACAAAACCCACTCTCTCAAACCACCTCATAGCCCGTCATCTCTCTCTCTGAACATGAGGGATCGAATGGAAAAATTTGTTCTCCTTCCGTTTAGTGCAGGTTGCATATCTGAATCGAGCATTGCAGTTGCACAGCAGCAAGCTAAAAGATCAAATCCGGATACCAAGTTAACTCCAACTAGTACTCACTCTCTTATAACAACTCATAATTTCTTGTTTTCCTCCCTTTTTTTTTTCTTTTGTTTCCTTTTCTTATATCTTCCTTTTCCGTGGCCTTATGTTTTGTCTTGTCTGTGAAGGAGAAAAGGAGGAAGAAGAAGACGAAGAAAGTTTATCGGGCGATAACTTGAAGAGCCCCTTAAGCCATTTGGCACTTCAGAGGTTCCAGAAGCTGTTCAAGAATTTCAAGAACTTCTCTCAGTCATTTGGTAAGCGACACCGCAATCAAAAACATATATTTTGGAATAAAGGGGAAAAATAAAGCTTTTATGCATCTATAGTTTCTATTCCTCGAAATCAGAATCAGAACTGCTATTATGCACATGATCAATTGAACATAATCAAATTGCTATGAAATTTAGATTGCAATACATGTAATGCCGCTACGATATAGAATTATATATACACCTCTCTCTCTCTCTCTCCCCCCC